GCTCAGCGGAGTTGATGGCTTAATTTGAAATGGTAGTTTGATCTTGAAATTGACGACGGTGAATAGATATGGTAAATTCTGTGTTGCCGCATTGCCAGATACTGATCTGCAAAATAGTTCAGATGTGTCACAGTAACTATAATGGAGGTTTGGATCACGTCAGCAATGAGCGGGAATGCGAAACATCAATACAGACAATTCGTCGTTTGCATGCACACGGAAATTTACCAAATTTGGAAATGGTGTAATTTGTGAAGGTTGGTGGAAACTCCGCCGAATGGCAGCACATGGAGGCCCCTTCCCCAGCGTGTCTGGTAACACAGATATACTCAAGAGTGCACCGCGACGGCAATTTCACAGCACCCGTGACAGGGAGGCAATATTCTCTGTCGCTTTTCTGTTTTGGATCTTCTTTGCGGCGGAAGGCCATACGGATGTGTCAAGTCAACAACACTTAAAGTTAGTCAATTTATGTGGAATTCAAAATTGTCATGTGAATTAACGGGAATGATATGAAAGCAATGGTGAATATTACAGGCGGGAATGTGAAAGACGGAATGGCTTTTACACCCCCGCTCGGGGGCCACTGCCTAACGCCCGGAATGCTGAGCTCATGGCTAGTGCACTATAGCTGGCGGAGGTGCGGCCCTAACTACATAACAGAAAACTGAATCATACGGGGTGCAGAACCCACCCATCTATTGATCCGTATCAGCAAAAGAGTATTACAATAATCTACCATTGTACGACTCTATTGCCGATACGGTTCAATAGTTCGATGGGCTACAGCTTTATTCATGCAATATAACAGCGCACGTGTTGTCAAGTACTGGACAGCACGCGCAGTTACCTTTTGCAAAGTGTATACAGGCCAAACTGCGATACCCGCAAAGCAGCAACAGGCTCCAAAAAAGGCGTTGAACGAGTCGCTAAGCGTCGCTCCTTGCCGCTTGCAGTCAAGAAGCGCCGGTCGTCCTCGCTCAGCACTGCCGCCACGTCTCGCACGCAGCTGTCTGACGTCACCGAGCTGCCCCAAATCCACGAGTCGTCCGAGTTCTTGGGACCTCGGCAGGAGTCCAAATGGCTGGCAATAGAGGAAGAGGACGGGACAGCGGCGGGGGAGGACAAGCTGGAACTGTCTCCGTACAGGAAGTATTCCAAGGTTGGGACGCGGCCTGTGTCGCATGAACGGGCCCTTCTCCCGCAGGCGCTCAGGAGCGGTTCAGCACTGCGCCTGCTGCAATGCATTACTTCGAACAGAAGCAAGCGCACCACAAAACACAAGTGAATGAAAAAATGGGGAAATAGGAGGGAGTGGTGGTCTTCAGGCGTTTGAATTGTAGCATTGCACATGCGCGCTCTGCTTAAATCCGCATATTTATGACGTTGCTTTGTACTTACGCTTGCGTTGCTACATCAAAAGCGAAGTGCAAAACGACGTCATATGTTAAAATATTATGTTAGTTGCCTTTTTATTTTGCTCTTCTGGAATGAAAAACGACCGACTGGAAGGCAGAAACAGCCCCGACTGGTAGCGTCACCAGGAGTAAGCAAACTAATCCTACATTTTTCGGGGGATACGGAATCGCGTTCAATTACGAAATGCTAGGAACTTGCAATCAATATGCTTAGAATACAATTGGCAGTATATCATGCATTACTGGTGTATAGTAATTCAAGTAAAAGAAATAGTAATCTCGGTTGGCGGGGGTGCTTGGGCGTAACTAAGATGGTTGATCTGAATTGCGCGTCTCCATTATCTGCCGACGCATTTTCATGCAATCGCAAAATCTTGCGCAGGGGCATTACACTATAATTTGCGGACATTCAGCACCACCTTTCTTTGCCGTTACGCAAAACTTTGCATTGCAGGCAAATGCAACAGTTCAAACTTTCCATTTTGTGTTTGGCCATTTCAGGACGCTGAGACGGACATAAGACTCCTCGACGTGCAAGGTCCCCGGTCCAATTTCAACTCCATGCTTCTACCGCCAACACCACTGCGCCTGGAGCACGAGGTGGCTGCGAAGAAACTGAAGCTTCTCAGGCAACTCCTCAGCATTCATCAGGGCGATGGCAAAGCAGGCAGCCAAGCTGAGGGCTCCGGAATTGAAGGGGCCAAAAACAGAGGATCCAAGAGCGGACGGCGAAAAGGTGAAGCCGAGATTCGCCCTGAGATGACATGCGCAAAGACCTGTGATGCTGCAATGCACAATGATTGTGCATGTAGATTATCTACAGTTTCCTGCAGGCTTAAAATTCCGCACGGTGGCGCACGTGGTTGAGGTAGGGCATTGGGAGGCGCGCATTCTAAAGTCCTGCAGGTTTGTTCGATCGAACAAATGATTGGCATCGATGCACATCATTTCCGTGCATGAAGGTCATGAAGTGATCGCAAAGGTCGTGAACGGTGCGAGAGTCTTAGAAGCCTTCATCCTAATCAGTCTTGGTTTTTATGTTTACTGTTCTAGGCTTGTACGCGCGAAAACGTAAATTTGCGAAGGTGCGCTTTTTACGGCTCCCTGGTGCACCTAGGTCACGCCATGAAAAGCGCGTACAATGATGAGTCTTCCGCCATCTCCAACATCGCAAACAATGTACATCTCTCCCTTGGCAAGGGCGATGATGGCATGTAAAAGAAGCCCGTTTTCTGCCCCTTCCAGGGCGTCTGGTTGCTATTTCCCCGACTCCGTAAGTCTGTGTATACTGTCCTTATGTATGCGAGGCTGTATTTACATTGTATTTATGCATTTACGTACTTTTATGCAGATTTGGGCGTAAAAACGTAAAAAATATTTTTACGCGTAAAAACGTAAGTACGATCAGTTTTTACGGCGTAAAAGCCAAGCCTGATTCTAATAACTTCAAGCCCGAAAACGACCTGCATACCTTCATGTCAGGAAATGAAGGGTGTTGATTGAAAATGCTCACAGGCAACGGGAAAATTGTCACACTGGTCATATTGCGTGTCTCTGCAAATGAACGGTGCTAGGTGATTTAATCAGATATTTTCAGATATTATCAGATATTCCGACTATTAGATCATTATTGAATCAGATAATTCTCTTGGAGCTCTACAGCACATATGGCGTTTGAAATGCGCAGTTTCGGTTGGCTCGTCGCCTGCAGAGTCCCGGCGCCACAAGTACCCCGCCAGGGCGCCTGTAGGGCAAGACGCCGAAGAGGAATACGAGACGGACGGGGACGGCGACGAGGAGACCGTGAAGGCGACGGAAAGCCCCGTGGTCGTCGACTCGACGTCGCTGGCGTCGGGTGACCCCTCGGTGCGGACGGTGGGAGAGCACGTGCCGAACGTCGTGGCGCAGATGCAAACTCTGATGCTGCAGCCTGCCACCAGCGACCTGCGGGTGGGCCAGGCGAGCAGCAAAATTTGCACGGCTGGGCGGGCTGAGAGTGAGGGCAGAAAACCGCAGCGAGAGGGGGGGGCCGGTGTGTTTGGGGAAGGCGCTACAGGTTAGGGCGTGGATTGATTCCGCTGTTGGAATATATACTTGAAAGACGAAGTGGCCGCTCTTGGCTCTTGCAGGCGATGATGGGCGCACACACACATACTTCCCTATGAAGGAAAGCTTCGCATATATTTAGACCTTCTTCAGTCCATGGCGTGCCCACTTTATCCGCTGGCCACACCTCTTGCACACGTGTAAACGTCGGTCGAAGAGGAAAAAACGAAACAGAAATTGAAGCTATGACTAGACGTCTTCTTCCCGCCTTGCGAAAAGGTGCTCTGCATCCCCCTAACCATACAGCTCCTAACCCCCACCCCCCACGGAGCTTGCCTGTGTGTCTCTCTCCCATTTTCATCGGAACAGAAATGTCTCAAGGGTCCTGAGGCCCTCGGCAGCCGCGACTGCGATTGATCACGTATAATGGCACTAACCTCGCACCACGTTAGTCAATACGAGGCATTGCGTGGCTGCTTCAGAGCGCTGGCAATCAAGAAAGATGTGCGCCCAATGCTCCATACAATCAAAAAGCGTCTACTCCTGGCGGGTGGCGGTGAATATGGATATAGTGAAGTGGGACCGAAGGAATGGCTTGCCGTGATACACCATAACCATCGGTGCATCGACATAATGTCGAAATTTACAGTAATTTACAAACTTGTTCATTTGATATTTCAGGTTAGGATCTGTCTTATGTTGGGGTGGGATTGAAACCGTCGAGCAACCGCTCTCAGCACATTTCAGGACACATTAGTACAAGAAAGTACTGTAAAGTACGGAGCCTGATTTTTTTTCTCAAAACAGTGAAAGAGACTCTTTCATGCAGAATCAAGCTCAACGATCTTCCCTGAGCCAACTAGTTTGCAACTGCCTGAAAGAGAACCAATCCTCCCGCACCCCATTGCATCCTTCCTTTCCCTACTCATACTCAATTTGAACCTGTATGTAACGTTGGTTGCCCGCCTGCATGCGTTGGAATGCATAACCTGGAGAGGAGATTTGTGCAAGTGTGGATCCGGCGAAACTTGAGAAAGCCCTGAGAAAGGACAAGGTTCCGTTGGCTGGTCTGGGTCGCATATGGGCTGCGGTGCAGGAGCTTTGCGAACGGTTGGAGATTGAAGAACGCTGCTTGAAAGGAATAGCCTGACTGACAAAATGAAGCGGCTTCATTATTGGCGGTGCGGCCCACACCGCCCACACCCCACGATCAGAACGGGAACAGAATGCGCCTTTGAACGCGCCAGCCCGCGAATGAAATGTGGTGAATGTGTGCAGATGCACAAGGCTCACGGATGCGACGTGCGCCAAGAACATCGGGGACAGATGGGGACGCATGGTAGATGGGAACAGCACCGAAGGACAGGATTGCTCTTGGTGGCAGTGTCATTGCTGATTGGGCAAGCGTGCTTGGGCAGCGCCGCTGCCATGAGTTAAGTGACCTCGATTCTAGAGCCGCGCTGGTGATGTTGTGGGCAATCGACGGTACACAGCGGGTAGGGAATCAATGCGCGCTTTGATCATCAGCTCCTGTTGTTACATCCGTGGACTTTTGACATGGTGGAAATCCCGAATTTGCAGGGTGTGAAAATAACAGAACATAGGAATAATGTACAGGGCAGCCATTAGGAGATGAAGGGCAGTTTGATGTGCGGTAAGAACTGTGCGATCGCCTAGATGCTCGAACGCTCGTGGGAGGCGGGATGTGGCAAACCAATCGGTCTCAAGCAGCAATGGCTGTAGTCCGTCCCTGGGCACAGAGCATGAACACCGTTGAGCACAAAACTGGCTCGCACACAGCCAATCAAAAGAGGCGGATATACGCTCTTCCGCTTCTCGCACATTAAGTTCGTCTTTCATGGGGCTGCATGCTGGTGTGCTCTTCACCGTTCCTTGCAGCTGCTGTCCTGCACCATGCGCCTGCCACATTCACTTCCCGAATAAGCCACCAGCACCACTGGTATGCTTCTCCTCTCAGGGCACGCGCCAGCGCATGACCAATGCAACCGCCCACAAGTGAATACTGGGAGCACAAAATCGCTCCTGTGAGTCACGTCCACAACGCACATCCGCTTTCACTACAGTTACCGAAAGGGCGAAAAACGCCCCTTGCCCTTTGGGCGATCTTGGGAACTTCCCCCTTCCCATGTGCTCGCCACGCATCATGTCTCCACCTTTCGAGAGCTGGCGATGCACTTCCCCAGACTCCCAGCAATGCTGTGTTCCCAGCGCCGACGCCACTGGATTCATTACTTCATCACAGCCAACTCTGGCCGCCTTCGTGTGCACGTTCTCAGAGCAGCTAACAAAGGCCGCCGCACTTTGCATTTCGATGAAATGCCTGTGCTCCAATCCCCACAGAAACCAATCCATCCAATGCAAGCCATCACAACCGTTTCAGGCTTGCGTCCATCCCATCGCTTTTCCTGATGTGCGGCCCCGGCCCCCAAAATAGAAGAATCACGGAGTATGAGCAAACTAATGCCGCCTAGCCATTCTGGCTCCAGCAGCTGTAGCCACCACCAGCCGCACCAGCTGTGGATCCCTGTCGAACGACGGAACTCATGCATGTCACCTGCGTCTAGAATGCGCATCACATGTGTCTCAAATGTGCACTTATATATCCACAGTCAGAAGCGCAACAAAGCAGTGTGAAAGATCTGCAAAAACCTCCATCTTGACCGAACTGGAAACAAGCCTTCTGCCAGTGGGGATGCACAGCGCCAAGATCAGTCTTGCTGCAAACCTGTAAAGAATGCTAAGCAACGAACGAAAAAACTGCCAAGGGGCTGGTGAGCAGCGCCATCGGACCCCAGAGAGAGTTTGGCTCACGGTCGCAAGCACTGTCTACATCGTCATCATGATGTCCTCACGGTCCTGTTGCCCCACAGGGTCGACACGGATCGCACTGTTCAAGTCGTCTTGGAACAACGCATTGGAGGACTTCGTGAACTGCATAGAAACCAGTTTCGACACAGTCCTCTTCTGTTGGGATCTGGTGGTGGTAATGCGCCTCGCCCTGTCCCTTGCCACACTGTACGGACTCCTCCGGCCGGGAGCATCTGCTGGCCCCCCAGACTGCGACACCCCAGACTGCGGCCTCCTGACATCCCTCTCCAGCTGCCACTCCACCCTCTGGCCGTCAGGCTGGGCCCTCCTGCCATCCCCATCCACCAGCTTCCCTGAGCGTCCCTCTGGTTCGACTGAACCAATCCCACCGTCCTCAAGCTGTAGGTCGTTCATGAGGTCCACCATGTTGCTGCCGTAGCGCACGGGGTGCACCACCCGGGGCACACCCCAGGCTGCTGCATATCGTTCCTTGTTCATCCTGTACATCGCCACCCCACGGGACGTGATACGCGGGTAGTGGGTGAATGCATCGATGTCTGTGTAGAAGGACAGTGCCTCTTGCACCGTGTCCTGGAGCGGGTATGTTACCAGGGACAACAGGTCCTTCCAAGACTGTAGCTTCTTGCGGCTTGTCTTCCTGACCTGGCGCCGACAGCACGCAAGCGAGGATGGGGCATCAGAAGAGAGAATTTATCTCTGAGAACATCTCTGAGAATACATATCTGAGAACACGAGTGTCCCATAACGGCAATGCGATATTCACAAGGAACAGTCAGGGGTACATGTTCTGGATGTACAGTACCAATCCCATGCGTTCCCATGCTCATCCAACAAAGAATGAATGCACAAAACTTGATACTTGTGATGAGACAAAACCTGCTTCGGTATCAAATGGTTTGCAGACGAAAATTGCAATAAACCGTAAAGGCAACAATTCTGGCTCAAGGCTCGTCTCCCTTTGTTGAACGCACAGAGTCAGATTTGCACAAGCATCGTTGGGGTGCCCCAGTCGCCAGAAGCACAATTCTAGGGGCTATCCAAGATATCCAATCAGTGATTCCCTGCAGTACTGTGCTGATCAGTTCTGTATGTGTGAGTATGCCCTTGGCAGCAAACAAGCATGTAGCACATCAAGGTTGGGGAACAAGGTTACACTTCTCAACATAGTAGGCTTCTCAGCAACCCAACCATTTTGTGTCCAGCACCAGCAAGCAAGGTCCACATGAAGATGGACACAAATCCCTTGTAACATCCATAAAGGGGACACTCTGTCATGTAGGAGTCACAAGCACTGGCCTGTGGGCTCAGACAGACATATCCCCAGCTCACCTGCTTCGCAAGGTGTCGAAAATCAGTGTTCCCAGGCGGTAGAATGTCGAGTGCCAGAATTGTGGTGTCATCCGTGAGGACCCCATCGGTGTGGAACATCAGTGCCTTGAACAGCCGTTGCGGCACCTTCGACAGGGGGCTGCCCCGTGCAACCTTGCAGGCACGCAGGCCAGTGAAGTAGTCCCACAGCCCATCAGAGGCCAGAAGCAAGCGGGCACCAGTGTCAGGGATCACAACCTGCGCAACGCAGTGCTGTTTGATCAAGAGGGGTTGCAGCTCGAGGCAGCAGGCGGCTATCCATTTGCAACCAGGAACCATCCAGAGTAACTTGTGCTGAGCCAGTAAAGTGTTCAGCGAATAATACATATCAGAGCTACGGAATCTTTCAAGTGAAACGGGCTGTACCCTGCAGAAAACAGCATGCACCTGCATGTTCCAGGCCTGCACACAACCTTGGGACCTACACACCCTCATGTGTCCACAACGAATCCCAACACCCCTTGTTCCAATGGGTGCCAACGAGCATTGCCATTGGCTATGCACATGCCAATCATGTGTCTAAACACTGGACAGACAATAGTTGAGAACGATGGGCCACACGTCCTGGCCAGTGGATTAATCAAGAGCGCAACTGGAGAACGCCCCCAGGGCACTAACTCAACCCCACACCTGATCACACCACAAGCAAGAGCGCAAGCGACGAGTACCTATGTGAAGACAAGCTGGTGGTGCTGTGCATATGTGTGAAGCATTACCTGGCGGATATGCGGCACCGGAAGGACGTGGCTGCCACACTCAAAGTCGCCCACTGATCTCGACACTGCAACTCCCCCAGGCCACACCCTCAGGGGCCCGACACCAACCTCCCCAGGCAAGGGCGGGCCCAACAGCGTAGAAGACAGCGAAGCGACTCGAACTCCTGCAACAGCAAGGCGCTGTTGCTCTTTTTTGTTGTCCTCGACTTTGTGGCAGCAGGCCATCTCTCCAACACATGTCCCAGTGTCCAGATACACTTCAGAGTCGCCCACATTGGCAACAGTGAGTAGCCACCCACTGAGGAGAGCCAAGGACACAGTTGTGCCTGTAGCAGTGACACAAACCTGCAGTCAAGTGGTGATTCCACAGTTGACATCCCATTACAATTCAGAATACAGAATTCGGATGCTATGAGAGCACAAACAGGCCTTACAGTGCTGGAAATTCTTACATTCTATCTGTGCACAGGACAAAACAACTTCGCTTCCCCCCAGCCCCCTCCTGTTGGGTGAGGCCAACATTTGCGCTGTGCACATACAGGCTTGCTGCCCATGTCAATAGACATCACATGCCATTTGTGCTGCGCTTGGAAGTATCAACTTAAGCAGTGCAGAAACGACGGCTCACACAAGGTTTCAATCCAGAAGGCAATGCCCACTGGATGGCATCCACATCTTTCCACAAGCATACACAAGTCGCCCAAGCTGACAACATTCCTGATAGACAACATGTCGTGGTCCTGATTCTCCAACCCATTAGCAGCAACTCCAGCAGTTCCTGCAGCTTGTCATGCTCCACCGAGTTCTGACACCATATTAAATACTGACAACAACAGCAGCAGTCTCAGGCCAGAACAAGACAGCAGGACGATCATCTCTTTGTTGATACTTCAATGACATTCTCCAAGAAGTGACGATTCACCTTGTGATGCAAGTCAACAATGGGCACAAGCTCAATCAAGCTATTTATAATATCCATCTCAAATGGCAAGTTCAAAATAACCTATGCATCCGATATCATGGCAACATCCCAACCACAATGGCCGCACACCCACCTGACGGGCACCTGTATTCTGCAAAGCCTTCATCGAGAGCAACGAAAGTAGCAGCAATGGCGCTGCTAATCTGCTCTGCCCACTGCCGTCCCTCTGGAGATCAGCACACAATGCAATAACTGAAAAACCACAACATTCTGCAATGGCAAAGGCGCATCGGGACACCAACACGTCCAGGGATATGCATGAGCCCAGCATGTCTGTCCATTTTTTGCTGTTAATCATTAATAGTTTTGCCAGTGTTTATTAAACATAATATACCATGTTTATTAAACATGACATGCCATGTTTAGCCAGTATCGGTATCCACCCCGTGTTTGACCAGCCTCCATTTCTGGTGTCCTAACCGCGTTGGTATCCATGAACCGGAGTTCGCATCCCCCCAACAACTCTTGCTGGGGCAAGTTGGACTCGTCCCCACCAGAGAAGTCGCTTGTATCCCACTGACTGCTGAGATACCATTCTTGTGTGCACATTTGAGCCTTCCAAACTGCAGCAAACGTTGTAAACTGCTGTGTTGTAAAGTCCGTGATGCATGGTTGGTGGCTGCTGCACACCTCATGATTGTCAACTATTCTGGTGGTTGGTGAAGAGGCTCTTCAGTTGCCAAGCAACTCCACCCCAAGGATTAGTGCTGGAGGGACAGGTAGGAACATTGGTGCAGATCGAATGTGGAGGCGGTATCAAATAAGACGGGGAGGGCATCTCCAGAACAGGGGCAAGAAATGGGAGACGTGGCAAGCACTACAGGGCCTCGTTTCGCTTGGGGGAATGAGGAGAGGGAGGCAAGAGGTAGAGAGCCATGGCTGCATTTGGTTAAGGTCAATTCTTGGTGCTTGCTGCCCTGCTTGGTGCAATTGTAATGGCCAGAAGTTGTAGCATGTACAGTGCAATTTTCTACAGTTCTAGCTCATTTCGGCCTTGCCCAAGACTAGCTTTCACAAAATCCCACTTACAACTTGGATCAAGGTTCCAAACCATGCTAGTATCCAGGATCCTGTGTTGGTATTCATCGTCTCGTCTTGCTTCATATGGAGGTCCATGCCTGCGGATACTAATAACAGGTAACTACAGTATTCTTAACCCAAGTCATCTGCAAGTATGGCATTGACCAGAACAACGCCTCATATCCACACCCACCTGCGGAGTCAAGATCCGGCTGGGGCCCCCGGGGAAGAAGCCTTCTCAAGCTGGTTATCAGCTGCTCCTGGACAAACCGCGCAGCTCCAACACCCCCATGGCCATCGCATACGCAATAGAGTTTCCAAACACACGCCGATGTCTCGATGGACTCATCAACAAAAGCGACATCCTGCTCGCAGAGTAGCAACAGCTGTTCAGCAAGCATGACTGGCCCCATTTATTCATGGTCTGGGCCACAGCATCTCAGGAGCTGGCTGAATCTCAGGCTCCTTTGTGCACATGAACTTTAGAAAATGCACATAGCAACAAACATACGGGCCTCAACGTAACAAAATTAGCGCCGATTATGTCCTATGAGCACATGCTTGTGTGATGCACGCTTGCAAACTCGGTTCCATAGCATCACATGCAATGGAGCATCGTGCTGCTCTGAGCTGAGCAGCAACCCACTGATTTTGTGAGCTACCACACAAAAAAACAGGCTAATACTGCCTTCTTCTGTTTCTTCATTTTCTTCAATCAATCGATCAATGCGTCAGGGCAAAAAGGTATAAGCCTTCTGGTTTTTCATTTTCTTCACTGAATCGATCAATGCGTCAGGGCAAAAAGGTATAAGCAAGCCACCAGCTCCCTGTGTATTTCTCAAGAACACAAACACAAGCTGGGTCCGCTGGTTGAAAAGGAGAATAGCAGGAAACCAAGATGAACCCTGACGAGTGTGGCAGTTGAAAAGCTGATAGGAGCAGGGCCCATTTGGATTACGGCCTTCAAAGCACGACCTCATAAACGCAGATCATCAACAAATTCAGACCTTAGGCCACAACAAAGCCTTGGACTATGGTTACAGCAAAGAAAACTCCACATTGGGGAGGCCTTAGACTATGAGAAACAGGAATGAAAGTGCAGGAATGGGACACCCCATTGAGAGCAAGGTGTCGCGCCTTTTTGAAGGCCTTCAAAAGTTGTACTGCCGGCTGGACGACATCCCTGAGGTACATGTTCGCACCGGCTCGAGCCGCATCACGCGTTCCTGCGCGGCTCCGCGCGCGTCTCGCAGGCAAGACACAAACTGCATCTTCGCTTTCTGAACTTCTCAAAACCAGCCAACCTGCGCTCAAAATCCGGCTCAAGACATGCCAGACCCCGCTCACGACACGGCTCAAGCCCCCCTCAAGACCAGCTTCGATCCCCGTTTGAGAAACGGCTCCAAGAAACGCTTGAGGCCGACCAATGGACAAGAAGCATGGAAGCGGCGTCTCACACACGCGACCGAAGGCACCTCGCGGAGCAAATGTCTCGGATACGCACATGCGCGTCAGCGCCGCAAGGGCTCCTCTTCGTCTCGCGATGGCAAACTCAACGAAATGCCATTCCGCCAATGCCGCCAGATTTCTCCATTCGCAAGGCCGCCGGGCGCAACAGCCGCAAAAATCACAACCTCCCAACGCCGGGCGTTTCAGCCCAACGGCGCCGCGACGACTTCCAGGGATGCCAACGAGCCAGGCGCAGGCGCCGATGCCCACCTCTCACCCCCCCCAACCCCCCCCAAACCCCGTGGCGCTCCCCAGACCGACTCTCCGGCCGCCGGACTGCCACCGCGGAGCCACCAATTACCAATCCCTCCATCAGCGGCGGTCTGACGGGGGCCCAGCAACGGCACGGGGCCAATCAACCCCCAACCCCTTCCACCCACAAGACAATTGATGGGTTGAAAGAACCCCCTCTCCCGCCTGCTCACCTCCCCTTTCAGGGCCTTGCTGCCAAGGACGTGGAACGCCTCCGGCGGCCTCTGCCCGCACTGGTGAGACATCCGTCCGCCTCGTCCGCCCCCGATGGCCGCCCGCCCTCGATCTCAGCAGCCGGGGCCGCCGCCCCGGATCGCCGCGAGATCGATCGACCCGGCGCCGGGCGCCGTCGCCCCAATTGGCCGCGCCAATGCGGCTCGAACGATTCGACGGATGCCCGAACAGAACTTTGCGGGAGCTTGCTTCTTCCGGCGGAACGGTCAGCAGGAGAGGAAGGGGGGCCAAGCGAGGGGGTGGCGGCAAGTTGGCCGCGCAGGGAAGGAGTCAGGGGCGTAAGCTGATGGGGGAGGGGGGGTCCCTGGGAGGGTGTTGCGGCTCGCCAGACGCCTGGGGGCATAGCGAGGTCGCTCGTGGTGATCAGCGCCCCGCCGTGGCACGTCAGATTTCGGTTGGAGTCTAAGGGGCGGTGGGGGCGTTCCGGTGGTAGTTTCTGCGGGGCTTTTGGGGCAAAAGCTGCCTGATGGGGGTGCGGGGGGGTGCTGTCATGCGGCCAGAGGCAACACGTGTGGGGGATCCCGCTGGAAACATGTGGAAATGGGCACCGACTGCTGTCGGTGGCGCTAGGGTCGCCCAAAGTGGGCCAAACAGGCGTGTTCTTGCTGGACGGGGTGCTTCTCCAGCTGGACTCACATGATGGGCAGGCAACTCGCGGCTCCCCCCCCCCTCTCTTGCCCTTCCAACGTAACGTCGTCGCGAACACGAAGACGCATCTTTGCGTTCACCCAGCAATCCGCGACTCAAACGGAAGCGCTCGTCCTCGCCACTCACTGCACGCATCACCCAAACTAGCTTTCCAATCACACCATCTTGTCCTCGCACGGGCGGCGCATAGATTACCACAGTACTGTAATTTGCTACCATTCCGCCTGTGCCCTTGTCTCCAGTGGGCACAGGCGCCCGCTGCTTAGCTGGGCACCCCCCCACTCCTGCACCACCTTGCCACCCGCACCACTGTTTTCCCAGCCCTTACATAATCACCGGGAAACCATCAGCCCTCGGACAACATATAGCCCATGACGGCTGGTACCTGGGTTGATCCACACAACTGCGTTTTTGTTGTGTCCACCTTGTCTGAACAAAACAGGAAGTCTGTAATTAGAGACTCTGTCCTTTATAAAGGACAGGCTTGCTGAAACGCGATACCACCATCGCCACCAGCGCCCAGGGAGCAATGTCCCCCGGAGTATCCACATCAGGCGCCAGGCCTCACTTGGCGCACTGTCACATTCATCCCATCATTGAGCACATCGTGGTGATCAGTAACGAAGCCTGCATATGTGGAAAATACACAGGGCTTGTACATTGCGATTGTCTCATTGCCCGTCCGTGGGAATATGGAACCCAATATAGCATAAACTAACTCGGAATGCAGTCCAGTTAAACGAATAAAAAGCCAGTAGCAGAACTCCTCGCGTACTTGCCTATCCACCCAGCTGTGTGCATGCACACTACTTGTTTTGAATTGCAACAACAACATCTGCGCACTCAAAGACACACAAACTGGGTCAGCAACCAATATAGTCCACCTAGATTTCTGCACATACACACTGCTTCGGCATTCTGTTGTAGTCGCGATTCCCCCTCTCGACCCACGTTCCTGGCCTGATATTGTGATCATTGTGCAATCAGCCTCTTGATGGCGGTGATATGCAACGACTGCTCGGGGTCCCCGGCTATCACCGTTCTTGCCTCCACAATCTTGCGAACTGCTATCGCCCCCTCCACAGCACACATCAGCGCGGGCTCTCAAAACTGTCCGTCCCATTGGGATGGTATGAGAGGTAAGCGCTGTGTTCTTACTGCAACAGACAGAGACCACGCATGTGTGGTCCACACATAACCACATATTTTTGGTCCGTGTCAGTTGATTAATGGCGAACAAGTGCGTGTAACACGCCCTTGTTCACCACAACCACCTGCGGATCCACATCATGAAGGGCACCTGCCACAAGTCTCTTATGCGAACTGAATCACAAACCTGACCTAGCAGGTAACACGGTCCGACAAGGTGCGTGCATGTCTCTTCAGTCAACGAAATATGCGCAGTCCATCTAACCATAGTGGCTCCTTACTGTTCCATATTCTTGTCGCAATGTTTGGCGCAGTACAACACGGCACGGCTATCATGCACTATGTGTCTTGGTCCGTGGAAACTGGGTCTTTGTTGTCGTGGTACATTGGGGGCATGCAAACAGTCAACATGACCTGAAATATGGGCAAAGGGCTCCTAGTCAACAGCAGGCTTTCCAGCTTTAAGGCTTCAACAAAATGTAGGCTGCCATGAGCTTGTTGCTGTTCCACGGGCCCTTTGGTATGTACCAAGCGCACTTTATTAGGTGCCGTTGTATCGCTTTACTGTATGGAGCGGCCTGTGCGTTAGGCAATTGCATCTTGGCCTGCGTTAAACAGGCCAAGCAGTGAGTTTCCGTTAGTTATTTGGTCACAAGCCCGAAGGTGCAATGCATAAGGAGAGCTGATATCTGCGCTCTGCTTCGGAATACATTCCATCCAAAATATGTGTTTTCGAATTACCAGTAATCGATCACTGATCTGCCTCCGTCAATTACTGATTTGTAAGCCCATGATTGAATGATGGCATATAAGAATCCCGTTTCAGGGATGCCAACAACATTACAATTGAATGTCATCTTTCCTCGGTGCTTCACTTGAAACTTTCCAGTTCGCATAATTGAAGTTCGGTGGCTGAACACCTGTGTGCAGTAAAATTCAATGAGAAGACTAAATGCATAAATGGAAGCCAGAATAAAGAGACGAAAGTCTGACACACCAAAACAGTCGCAGGTACCATGTTGTGCAAACAGTTGGTCATGTGCTTGCTCACTGGCTCACTCATCGACTTAATTGAGATGGCATCAGCATTATTGGGATGACTGGAAGACGGCTTGCCAAAAATCAGCTTCAAGTTTACTAACGATTTTGGTGATCGTGAGTTGGTGCTGTGAGTTGGAGTTGTGGGTCGGTGCCGTGGGTCGATACTATGGATCGGTATTGCGGGGTAGCGCGTTGTACGTGTGTGAACTTTGAGTTCAGTCCTCCGTTCTGAGTGTGAGTTCTGTGGACCACAAAACGACGCATACTCTGGTATTTAAAAAGAGCCCGAGTCTTGTTCGGGGATTCTCTTGGTTTGGTTGTAAGACAAGTTAAGCCTTGGTTGCTTGTCCAACCATGCACGGCGAGTGCGTTGAACACCGCGTGCACCAAGGTTGCCACAGAGCTCGAGCAAAAAAGGTTTGACTTGGTGCTATGTTGCGGCCCATCGCTGCGTGCATTCAATTGTGATGAGCGGAACCTCGAATCGGGATGGCCAAGGAGGTTTGTCAGTGTGTCACAGAAAGTTGTTGATTCAACTCAGTGGATACAACATAATGCAAAATAATTTGCCAGGAATTGAAAAGGGATTCAAAATAAAAAGAAATGAAAGGGCACAAGTTGTCAGATGTCCGATCATTGGGGCTTTGGCACAGTCCGCTCGTGGACGGCGTAAAATTTTCATGGATTAGGAAAATAAATTTATCAGATCTTCAATAAATTGCAGAAGCTTATGTTCACGTATTTTTTAGCAACAAACATGTGGGGAATTATGTTTCGTATTGGCCTCAGCAATCTGCCCTTTAGACAACGATCTGCGTCCAACATGCTTGGCGCTGTTGTGGCAATGCAAAGTAGTGCAGCTCTTTTGGTTCGAAGAGCTCCATTTGCAATCTGCGATTACCAGCGACAGTGCATGATGCACAAAGACAAGGATGTTGCTCAGCAAGAATATAAGAATGGTGTTCAGAACTGTTATAATTTTATATTCAACGCAAAACTATCACAGCACCTTGCCAACCATAACAGTTCCTTTGCCAACTTGGCAAATCCACTCGGTACGAAAACTTGCAACGTGATCTATAGCGTAACTTCTGTAGAGACCAAAATGTGACGCCGTTTGAATCTGCTTCAAATTGCATTGATGTGGTGAAGCTTGTCATTACACGATGCGGTATTTCACTTTGCTCCTTTGGCACTACTACAACACCTTATCGCAATGACCTCAGAGTGTGTTTTTGCAAGGATTTAAATTCGCTAGTTTACCATGAGAGGGTTTTCAGAAAAATTGGCAGGTATTACTAAGGTATATCTTGAAGAAAACCCCAAATTTCTTGACCACTTCAGTGGTTTCGATGCTCTGAAGTACATCAAATCTGTAATAACCCAACAGTGTGTACCGAACCCAAGTATATCGGCTCATAACGACCAAGAAAGGACCCATACCGGCTGGGCTCTAGAATATCTCGTCATTTACACAGTGGCACAGTGCAATCCACAAATAAGGTCTTCAGATATCAAAAATATGCAACAGAAGCATCGAAACATCGGCCAAGGCTACGTTTGCGCCTGAATTACTTCTTACTGAACAACCCGTCGCATCCACCTCTCCGCAGCTGTAATTTGCGCTTCTCCTCTAGCTCACTGGACGAGTGGGCCTATCGTGCAGGGAGTCTCACTCCCTGAGTGAAGCGACTCACATCCCGTTGTGTCAAGCACGATTCGGATGGGGCGTCAATGGGGCTTACAATATTTTGGTCTTTCCTGCTTATGGATGTTATGTACACCGTGCGGCGCATATCTCTTTCGTAGTCCGTCAGGGGCGTGTCCCTCTTGCCACTCAGCCTCACCAAAAACCAGCCCAACGGATCCTTTCTGTGTTTGGGCCTGAATGAACTATCAAATGAGTTGACGGCTCCCACATTTTGCATGTTCGAGTATTCCCATAAGTGAAGACACCCAACCATCGATGTTCAACTTGCCACGCTCTCCCCACGTGGTACCAATCCCCCACTTATCCTGCCTTACCATAGCCGGCTGGTGATGTCTGCCTTGTCGATCCGGCATGGAATTGATACCCAATTAAAATTGCCTCATGTTACCACCATAATTTGAGGTACCTCTTGCCCTGGCAGGCATTGGTCCAGCCTGATTGCACATCATGAGATCGCTTGTG